ATTTTTCACAGTATTTGTCCACTCTTACAAAGAGTTCTTTTTTTCTTAAATAAATATGTAAATCCGTAATAAAATGTAATTAATAATCGTCTGTCCGCCACGTTAACATTAGTCTGTCTTGATGCTTTCATGGCTGTCCTCCAAAAAATCAGAGCCAACAAAAAATGTACTCTAATCCAACGACATAACATTCTTAATTAACATTCGGTAGGTAAAAACTTACTTTGATATTGACTTTAAATTATAACAACAAAGAACGAAGACATACATCGAAATATAACACAAAGAGCATTGATAATGAACCATATGCCCTTGAAATTAGAGTTTAAATTAAGCGCGTTAATTTGTTTCCGGAAATAAACGAGCGGTGGCGTGATCATCGCGTGCGTTTGCGCAGGTCCACTGACCCGTATTCGTTATACTTAGATTTGTTTTGTTATTGATTTTTGTCTCATTGTATTTTAACTTTTATTATTGGATACACGTGGCTGATCTATTCTATCGTTACCTGTTTACAAAATAAAACATAGTTTGATTTTATGTAAATCAAATAAACATCTAATAGAGTCAAACAGTCAATTATCGGTATAAAGACAAGTACAAAAAAATGCTGACTACTTTTCTACAATCATTATTCATTTTCTTTAATAGCATGTCAGCAAAAACTTTCTCACATACATTTTTTTCACAATTACAGCAATGTTAATGATTTATGGTCATAATTACCTGATTGCTGTTAATTTTGCTAAGCAACAGCACAAAATATGATTATTATACCGTGGTAACTAACAACAGGTAATTAGTTTTTCTCTTTATTTGATATCGTGGAGTAAATGTGACGGATTCCTGTATCAATATTAGTATTGTGAAGCTGAGAATATTTGCTTGACTTTGAACGTGTTTATCTTTACAACAAGATACTGGATTTCATAAACAGTTCAATGATTCACTTACTATCTCACGGTATGACCTCTAAAAGTATAGTTATTGCCATTTCAATCTGAACATATCTCCGTAACTGCAAAAAAATTAATGAAATTCCTTTTTTTTTCTGCAGGAATATCACAACCCCTTTTGTTCAAAGTAATATTATTTTTGGTTATAAAAACTGCTCTATATAAATCAAAAAGTTACTCGTCAGCTACATAGCCGTGTGTCCGTTTCGTCACTTAGTACCAAACAATTTGCTTTACATTTTGTTTCCGTCGCCAATTTAAGTACCAATTGAATAACAGACGGTTAGGCGTAGTCCAAATAGGAGCGAGTTTTAAGCCTTTGTATAGGTATTTGACATAACAACTTTTTGCAACGGTAAACAAAGATAAAATATGGTAGAAATTTCTATTGCTTATAGCTATGGGTACTATCAAATATAAACTAGCTCCTCAAGTGGTCCCACACGCTTAATCCGCACGTAAGGAGACCAAATACAAAAAACTGACCGCCAATGAACTCATCCACCGCAAAAAACCATTGCTAGTTGAAAAGATTGATGTGTACAGATAAAAAATTCGTTAAATACTACATTTAGTTGGTACGAATATTTATTACAGAGGTATGACTAATAAAACATGACCATTTTATTCATTTCGCGTATACTGACGAATGATGAACACAAATTTTTTCAACACATGATGATGCGACAAAATTGTTTCGATCGTCGCAATCGGGTGAAATACTCAATCGCAAGTATTTTTTAATTTTGGAGCAAATCTTAAACGATATACCCATTGCCAAATGGTGTCTAATGTAATTTAATAAAGTATACGGCCAACAGATGCCACTAAGTTGCACAACAATGCTCACAAAAGTCGGAAGGGGCAAATGGATCGTCGTTAAAAGGACAACGATAAGAGCAATATGGGCTGTAGTAAAAACGGCTACGATGAAAGTAATACTAAAAATACATATCCTTACTATCCCATAGAGATGTACCTAAAAAATTTTTGAAATATGCTGTTTTGGGCTGGCTCCAGGCCCCAAAAATCATTTGGGGACAGCCATCGATATTTTATTTGCCGGGAAGTGCTTTAAATAAAATATCTAACAGTCATTTACGTCCTGGAGGATATCCAGTAACTAGTTACTCAAATACTTTCTAAATAGCTTAACGACAAATCGTTACCACTTTATTTTATTGCCACGATCGGTGTAAACATAGCTTTACTGAGCCGACCATATTGTTGCGTACGTTGCCTATGAATAGGTAATGGCTGAATAGATTTGAGTAAAAACTACTAACACTTGGAATTATGCACATTTACGAGTGCCGTCTGACCTTAGACACCTATGATAAGTTAAAAGGTTGGTAAATAGTAATAAATTTTATGCTTGAAGAATAGTAAAATTAAGTGACAAGAAATAACCCATATTATAGGTTGGATGCAGCACGCTACCTATTGACCAATTGGGAAGTCTTTGAAGGAGGCCTACGGTGAGTAATGGACGTCTTGAGGCTGACATGGTGATGAAATAAATGACTAGAGAAGGCTGCTGTAAAGCTGGTGATTGATTGTCTGTCATGTGTGATTTTCTTATGAGCAATGACCGGGTATCAAAACTAGAAACACAATTGGACTGTTTGTTCACATTTGGATCTTATTCGGATTAGGAAGATTGGATGTAGGCAAGTGCATTTCATATGGGAGAGAGCCAAAAAGTATTGAAGCCTTGAATTGATTTCTGATGAAGATTAAACACCATTGTCTTACAATATTTAAGCCAAAATAACAGATATTTGTCCATTAAATACCCAAAAATGGTTTCATTTAAACTTTTAACGGATTAGCTAACGAAGGTTGAAATCTAATTAGTAGCAGTATTTGCGTCGGGGTCTAAAACGCTTTTCTTAGTAAATTCTGCTTAATTAAATTCTTGGATTATTAACGAAAGTTCCGAGTAAATGAAGTTCCACCTAAATAGCTAGCAATCGTATTGATTTAAGTAATAATAATATTAGATCAAGGACCTGTTTCATAACGTCTGATTAAGTTGTGTCCCATAATAATAATTATTAGTTAAATATATAGTCTATGGAGAATATGACTTAGATATCTAGATTAACAGCGACATTACATTAACAGTTGTATAAGAAAATTGTTACTAACCGTTTATGAGCTCCGAGCTTGAAATAAAGATTACTATTCTATTCTATTCTATTACGGTTAAAATAAATAATCAATCCGAATATAAAATCTTTGTATTAAGATTGATCATTTATTCGTTTTTAAGTTTCTACGTCAAATCAAGATCGATCCGAGACTTTCGGGACAATGGGAATCGATTACTAATTCCGGCCGTTTATCATTGAATGAAACAAACCTTTAGTATCCATGGCAATCAATCATTATATTCCGAAGTAATTATTGTTGTTTGTGAATAGGCAGTTACTTCAAAGACACATCACATACTTTGGCAGATGAAATTGAAATCTGTTACCCGTCTTTCGCGAGTTTACGTATCGAAACATCAAACGATTTATTTTGGTACTAGTAATCGATCGGTATAAATTTTAAGTGTTATTTGAGTGAGGAATAAACGATACTATCGCGTATCGGTAAACAGGGCATTACTTTTTTTTTTCATTCTGTTTAGTTTACGCTTTAGTGGCAGAGACAAGTAATAAAATAGAGTACGCGTTCTTTTTTTTACGCCTCATTTCCCGCCATCATTTATTTACCTCATTTTATTTTCGGCCAGACTCCCAAAGAATTTTATACATTTGACAGTTCGTTCTTGTTAATATTATTACAGCTTGATACTTGAATGCTAAACATGTTTCATACTCTGATATGCAAACACAGGTGTTTTAATTGTAATTTTATAAATTCCATAATATGAGTAAATAATGCTAAACTAATATAATCGCGTAAAATACGTAGTAATTTACATTGTATTAGAAAATTAATTATTTAATATTAATCGACTAAGAATATTGACGATAGCGTTCATAGTGCCAGAGAACTTACAGCCAAATATACAGCTGTTGTTGTTGCTGTATTTTGACAATAGCTGCGACATTTTGTTATTAATACACGTTGTTTATGAACACAATCGAGATAAACATTTCTTAAAATAAACGTGAATTAATTTCGTTACATTATTACGTAGTAAATAGTAAGATATTGCGAATTTCAAAATGTCTTGGGTGAATATAAATTGTAAAAATTACGTCTTTATTTGTGCGAATAATTTTGTAATTAATTAATTTGTAATAGAAATAGCTACAACAAGTAAAAAAATACATTATTCCAAGACTCATTACATTGAAACACAATTATCTTGAAAAATATAAATACCTAGCTCTTTTTGCGAAGGTTAAACTAATCGGGACTTTCCCAATCGATAACCGCATTTGAGTAACATGTATTTTCCTGTTAGTTATGCGAAATAGGTACAAAATTAGAGTTCACACACTATTCTAAATACTGTCTGTAATAAGTTGTAGAGGCGGGCATGTTTTTTACTACCGGAACTAGGCATTACACGGTGGCGCCCGCGTCGCTATACGGATGGCGTAAGTTCTGTGTGTCATCGCCCCTAGCAACAACCGACAATTGCTATTTAAATGAGGAATTCACAGTCCAAATTTTTTCATAGTTGTGATGCTAAATTGCACAAATAATACTGGAGATCCAAATACTTTGAATTATAGTCATTAAATATCATACGATTGTGCTATCTTAACAAATAAACTCACGAAAAAATATCTAGCGAAAAAATATCAGTGCAACAAAATCATAAATACAATGCAGAAATAAACTGCAAAAGCAAAAATTAATGATGCAACAAAGTAAAATTGTTACTAATTTATTACATAAATATTTACAACTAACACAGATAAAGTGCAATGACATTTATAAAAAAAAACAATATCATAGCAAAACATTGATCACATCACTATTAATCTACTAAATAAAAATTTAAAATTGGAAGCATCACATTACGACCGGCAAAAAAAGTAAAATGAAGCACAGACACAAACTCAAACAGCTTTATACCAGCTCATTTTTGTTGCCTGTGGCCCGCTGACCCCGTTTCCTGCATTCTGCCCGGAGCTGTTCCTTATTCATAGCTGCTAATGCCTCAGGGCTAAGGTTCTGACGAGCCCTTCCATTGTCAGACACAGAGTTCTGACGCGGTATGACCACTGAATTGGCATTATTACGAGCACGTCTTGTGCCCACCATATTCGTTATTTATAATTAATTCCCGTTTAATTATATTTTGTTCAGTGTCTTCTACACTTTAATGTAATCCCACGTCTTCTTGCCTTGCAGATTGTGGAGAAATTGTTGATGTAATAAATACATGTTGTATTGTAAATATATAAAATAGTACACTCATTAAGTATTACACTGTATTAAATATTCTAGTATATAGAATAAGAAGTAATAAGAAGTATTTAAGTAAGTAATCTTTATTTTTAAAGATATTTTAGAACCAAAAAAATAAAATAGATAAAAATAAATGAAACAGGTACAAAAAATAAATATTAATGCTGACTTTAAACTATGATAAGTGCAGTCCCAAAAAATGTTTATAATACAACTATACATGTATGTGTGTTTGAATAAAATTAAATATTTAAATATTGCCAAAATATTTGAAAAAAATTTTACGATTAGAAGAAATATGGGTAAGTAAATAAATATTTTTAGATAAATAAAAATATATGTACGATAGATTTAACGGTGAAAACGCACTGGGTTGTTAATTAAAATCAAATGAATGGTAAGTTTGCATGTAAATATTTGCATGAAACGACGAAAATTACCCTCGTCATTATGTTATTGATTATTTATGATCACTCGAGCGTAACATAATCGTATGATGAGAAACAATTACTCCATTCGTGGAGGGTATTTTCTAGCAGATCAAAAATAAAAAAGCCACTTTCAGCCCCTAGTAAATTAAGCGTAAATTTGAAAATATCGGAAATAATGTTTAGGGACAGTCAGCGGAAATTATAGGTAACATCTAACCTAACATAACATTAAAAAATATATTCCAAAGATACTCACATTCGCAGTAAATCAAGAACGGTATGGTTAACGATTCTCAGTCTTTATTTCATTCAATTTGTATTTATTTCAAGTAAAACAATAATTTCTTCACACAATATCCTTCCGTGAAAAGCAAAATGTTGAAGTTTATATGACTATTGCCAACTCTATAGAAAAACTCCCGTGTTTTTACGAGTACTACTCCCCTGAAAAAATAACTGCACTTTGAAATGTAACGGCTCTTGAAATAAAAATTATTTAAGCATATTTCTGTACATTTTTTACTTATTTTATGTACAAATGACGTTATGTTTATGGAACTTTCCACTTAAATAGAATATAATATATTTGTTCCGCATAATACAATGTTACCTTTTTCTGGGTAAAATATTTTCATTGCAACTCTAAATCTAAACACTGACGTGTTTGTCATAGACAATGATAGTGCTGCTCTGAAGGATGTCTGAAGGCGATTTTTCCTAGTTTTAGTTTTTATTCTTACCACAATGACCTGAAATTAAATCAAGTATTATTGTTGATAACTATTATTGATTTTTATATATTATTTTAATTAACAGTTGAGTTAATAATTTATGAGTTAATTTTAATGCAGCTATAATTTCATATTCTAAAAGTGCGAAGAGCGTGGTTTTTATTGTTTAATAGGTAGTATGATTACTTTCTAGTTTTAATAATAATTTTCATGGTTCCCATTTTTCATATTTGCAAAAATCATTAAAAAATAGTAATGAAAGTTTTGATTATAACTTTTCGGCTACTAGTTGCCGCTCTATTTATGAATGACCAAGGAGGTTGTAAACATGAAGGTTTAGTTTGTAAATGGCACAAATAATAATAGTGCCACTTGTTGTTTATTCCAAGAGTCACTGTCAACTTGACAAAGCCAAAAGTGACAAACTGACAATCGCAATTCGCACATTCGCAGATTCGTACATAGAGTAAATAAACACTATAAAACAAATCTTGCGCCAGGAAAAGAAATTCAAACAACTTTGTTTTAAAACAGGAATAAAACAAGCTTAATTTTTTAAATTGAAATGGAAGATGAATGGTGATGATATCACTGACTATGTTCCCTCACTTTTGAATCCAAGGGGAGTAAGAAAACTTGATGCTGATGGTGATATATCATTAACACAGGTGAGGAACATGTTTACCTTTCAAAAGGAGAATAAACGGAGTTCGAAATTTAAAAATTAATCTCACGTAGGTATACAAAAATAAAAGAAAGATTCTTTCCAACATAAATATCGTAACATGCAATATGTGTATGAATTATTTAGGTCGTATTACGTGATTCAAGGTAGAAATAATATCTAGACCTTGACTTTTTGCTGACAGACGATAATGAGAAAAGGTCCATATTTTGACATACCTACTTACATAGAATCACACCTATGTCCTAAAATCGCAGCCTTATAAAATTAAATAATGATACTTACCTACATAATTCTGTGTCCCATCAGACCATGAAATTCATGCACTCTGATCATATTATATAGGGGTTTTAAGTAACTAGCAACACTATCACCGCTTAAATTAAATATTCCTTCTCACATGGAGAAGGTATATTAGCCATAGCTCTGAGTTTGTATGAATGTTTGACAGACAAAGTTGCTTCCACATTTACTAAATTACTCAAGAAAGTAAGTTAGAATGAGGGGTTTGGGCCTTATATCAAGCATAGACAGTCAGTTTGCTTTGAATAACGAGCATCCTCTTATAGAATGGCTCCCCATGTTCCGAAGTATTCACCACTACATGGTCAGGGTGATGCCGAGTCCACTGCGTTGTCCAATAAAAAAACCTCAGTAAGTAGTTTTGTCATAAGATTAAGTGGAACGACTGCCTCATTGGCCGAGTGGAACTGCGACTGCCGGGCAGGGGTCTCGAGTTCGATTCCCGAGTCGGGCAAAGTATTGCTAGGTTTTGAAATACATTCTCAGTAGTAGCATGGAGTCTGGAATAGTAACTGGTATATTGCATTAGGCTCATGAACCATTGGACAATATTTTTCTCTCCTTTTGCAAATCCGTCTATTAGTTATGGAAGGTATTCAATACATACAATGCAACAATCAATCTTTCTTATAAGTAATTAATGTGTAGATTAAAATGTAATTTAATTACAACAAGTTTATCATAGGGTCGAAGTTAGAATTAATTATAATTTATTTAATTTTTCAACAGCATTCAATTGTAAGCCGCTCCTCTCTATCGCTCAGAAGAAATAATGGATTGAAACTTAAATCTAAGAAAAGGGTAAGTTTTTAAAATTAACAAGTTAATATTTTAACTGGGTATGTACTTTCCATAATCAAAAATAAATTATTTCGACTGTTCAATACAATAAATTATTAAAAAATAATCACACTTAAATTAGTTGATTTTATGACCAACTTCACTTTAGTATTTTTATAGCATTTTTTTAAGAAATAAATACGCTAAATAAACGTGACGCCACGTCGTCACGTCTCGTAGAAAAGTCATAGAAAACTGTCGTTTTGACAGTTCGAAAAAAGTATTGAATTTGGTTAGTTGGCAAGTATTGTACTACCAAGTTTAAAATAGTGAAAGTTAAATCTCCACTAGCGTGGATTACCGGTCTCAGGGTAAAATAAAAGTACCATACATTGGGATACTGACATCTTCTATCTGCTTTTGGAAGGGTACCTACTTACTTATATTATAATTTTCGTCAGACATCCTAAATATTATGTTTAATTATTATGTTTTCGGCTTGCTCACGAAACTGTTTATTGAGTAGCTGCTCATGAATATGAGCCTCTAGCATGGCTTGAAACTAGTCGAGTTCCTCGTCAAATAATTACGTGAGTAAGCCGAATACATAATAATTAATTTACCTACTATTTAAATTATGTTTTTATAAGCTAGCCACCCGGGCTTAACCGAAACCTCACGTCAGTTCTCAGTTAGGTTTAGTTTAGTGCATGAGAAGCTTCACTTGACAGTAACAAATAAAAAAAATCGATCTAGGTCCAGTCGTCCCAAAGTTTCGGGCTCAGTAACAAGTTTTACCATTCGTTTTTATTTCGGTGGCTGTATACAGACTTTATCAGCAATATTTCACCTTATCATCTAAACTACCTCACTTACTATCGGAAATCAAAGTAACGGTAAAATTGTTCATAACATTTATATTTCCTAACGCTATCGTAAAAATATCTATCACCTACTAAACATGAAAACTGTAAAACCGGTAAGTTGTAAACTCACGCAACATTTTAACACATTTCAGATTTATCCATCGGTAAACAAAGAAAATTCGCAAAATGTACAAAACTTGCTTTCTCAATGTACTCCTACCAAAGATATACCAAAGACCGTCGACAGACACAGCCTAGGCTTGTCAGCTATTGAAGACCTGCAGAGTGAAGGCAATCAGTTTGATAGCTGCTCGTTCTCCCTCGCGAATGCTCCCATCAAACCGAAATTGACCAGCGTCACCACTCCTTTAGTGTCCGTGTCCTCCCACACAGAACTAGAACGATGTGGCGACTGTGGGGACTCCAAAACTGCTTCCACAGTCATTGTAAATAATGTTAAACCTACCATCTCGGTGTCCTTCGGCATCGACAACTGCCAAAGTGTTGATGTCAAAGCCAAAAAGAGCTCCATAAAGAGAATTCTATTCTCCCATAAAAACGACAACACATTGGTCGATTGCGAAATCGTAGAAAGATCACAGGCGAGCTCAGAAAGTGATATTGACGAGAACATGAACGAACTCCTTTCCCCTAACTCTTTAAAGAGGTCCGCCGTCACTGTCAATCTAGAAATTAAAAAGAAAAAGCCGTCATCCACGGAGACAGCAGAAAACAAAGTTCTAATTTTAAACACAAGTGCCATCGAGAAGATATCCCATGTCATCGTTCAACCACCAAATTACAAATTAGTGAAGGGGAAAATTTTGGACAAAAACAAATTTAAAAGCAGCAATAAGAAAAACTCAGTGTTAGGATTTAACGTTAATTATGGAAATGTGCGTGATAGATTGAAGCAGAAATCTATTGACAGTTTTTTCCCTAAACGTACGAATGTTTTAAACTTGAAAGTATCGGAAGGGAGAAGTCTAGCTGAGCCTGTGTCTGACGAGAAGACTCGAGTGAATAAACATGGTGATGAGGAGGTCATGAGTAGGAATTCAGGTGTCGCTGACGCCATTAAAAGCGATAGAATTCGTAAATCGCCTTACAAGGCATCTCGGATTGAAAATGAAGCGTCAATTAGGGCGACAAGAGTTCTTTCTCCAGGGAAGGAAGTGTCTCCTCGGCCGGAGATTAAGACTTCATGTTCGTCTCCTCGAGGAAAGGAAAGCCCCAGCTCGCACAGTCCCCGGAAGGGTGTAGAGTCTATTCACTTCAGTTTGCCGCCCAAGTCTGTGTCTACGAAGAGATCTGTGTCAACAAGGAATATACCGCACCATAAGATTGTGGCAGGTACGTCTTATTGCTTTCGTAATGATGCAATGCTTCTTATAGTGCCTTCTTATGAAGGTTGGCGGTCATTAGGGTCACATCCCTCTTGAAACTGCTGCCCGGCTGTGATACCACTCAACCATTCACATTAGGATCTCCTTCTGCGATCTAGCCTTCAATTTTACCCTGTATGAAGGATGCAATGCTAATTTTTCATTAAGCATTGTACAACGATTCCTAGTTTTGTATTGATTTTTTTGTTCGTATTCTTTTATGCAGCAGTTTGGGCTATGATCTCTTGAACTTGCAGGCACACACTTTGCGGTGGACGCATTCTCGTACGGGGAGATTCCAAACGTGAAGCACTACTTCCTCACACACTTCCACTCAGACCATTATTCGGGCCTGAAGAAGGGCTTCAATAAATTATTGTTTTGTTCGAAAATTACCGGTGAGATGTTCTTTTTTTTTTGGTTTTATTTTGTGCTGTTTGTTTGTGTTTTGCGTCGTGATACAGTGGTACTTAGAAATAGGAAGCTCAATTATAAGAGGTATGTTTGCTCGATCTGCTAATTTTGGACCATTTCTGCATGATTATCCATTTAAATTTGACCACAAAAGACACCTTTGAATGCTAAAAGGACTGTAAGGACTGCCTCATTGGCCGAGTGATCGCAAGTGCGACTACCGGGCAAGGGGTCTCGGGTTCGATTCCCGGGTCGGGCAAAGCAATTACGGATTTTTTAAAAATACTCAACGGTAGCACGGGGTCTGGAATTATGCCCGGTATATGGTAATAGGCTCACCCCCTATTACATGAGACTCATAACATAAATAGTGGAAAGTGGGTGTTACATTTAACAGTGGCATTAAGTTCCGTAATGTGCACCTCTGCCTACCCCTTCGGGGATAAAAGGCGTGATGTTATGTTTATGTGTGTGTAAGGACTGTAAATGTAACATATCTTTCCAAAGTTAGAACTGAAGATTCCTATAAAGTAAAACGAGCTAGTTCTTCATTTTTGTTATTTAAATTAAATAAGTGTACGAATTGTTCAAATATTTACTACCAATCTAAGTCCCACTTCCCCAATCTACACACATTTTTAATCGTTCCTAAAATTGACATTAAAATTGCGCAAGTTTAGTATAATATTGACTTGACCGTTATATATATATTGCAGCTGATCTGTGCATATCGCGGCTGGGCGTGAGTCCAAAGTGTATCCACATGATTAAGACCGACGAGACTATTCGGATCGACGGCGTCGAGGTTACCGCTGTGGAAGCTAATCAGTAAGTCTTTCACTTTCTTCTAGGCCAGTGTCTTAGTGGAATTCTGATAAGTAACCAATCTAATTTGTTTATTTCGTAAAAGATGAGATTTAGAAAATTTGGGAGGAGTTCTTATTTATTCTACCTAGTTTGTTAAAGGAACACGCGGTAGTGAATTACATTGTTAAATGCTTAACTTTAAATACGAAGGTTCTTAAAACCTTTTATCATTGCCTTATCTATGCTCGTCATGGATGGTTCCCTTTGGAACCTGGTTGCAATTTGAAAATAAACTGGTTCCTTAACTGCGGTTGTGGTTGCGGTTCCCTTATACCGTAGTTTTCTTTTCTTGTTGGGGTTTTCTTTCAAGGGACGACTTTTTGAAGTAAAGAAAGAAAGAAAAACCATTTATTTTGCTACGACACACAACAAGAATTTAGAAACACAAAAAAAGCCTATGGTTCGTCGCAGCGCAAAAGGCTGGAGCTCAGCTTAATACCGTGGACCGGGCACAGAGGCTCGAGCCCACGGCGCTGATTTTCAGCACCAGCCCGTTATAGTACGTACTACTTACATCTACGGTAACGATGTTCAGAGCACAGCATGATGTATATAATAAATTAATATAAAAATGAAAACAAAATCAACAGCAACGATTATTGCCAAAAATCTAATATTATATTATATATACATATTATCTAAGTAGGGGATATCCACTGCAATTTTTGATCCCAACCATGTTTCTGCTCCCAGCTGTCCGGGGGCAGTGATGTTAGTGTTCACACTGCCCAACGGTAAGACATTGCTCCACACGGGAGACTTCAGAGCCTCACCCATCATGGAGTCCTATCCCGTGTTCTGGAATAAGGACATACATACCATCTACTTGGATACCACGTGAGTTTACTTTTTCTTCTTTAGATTGCTAACAAACTTGTCTATTTACTAGATATACTAGATTGTTTGTCGTGGTGGCCCGGAGGCTTAAGACGCTGGCTTCTCACGCATGAGAGGGTTCGAAACCTACCAACGGCAAGTAACAATGTGACTTTTTCCGAGTTATATGTACTTTCTAAGATTATTTAGACACCACTGACAAACGGTGAAGGAAAACATCGTGAGGAAACCTAGGCTTATAATTTCTGATTATAAGTTTGTAATCACCAACCCGAAATGAGCAAGCGTGGTGAATCAATGCTCAAACCTTCTCCGTATGAGAAGAGGCTTTGCTCAGCAGTGGGCATTTATAGGCTGTTGATGGCTGGATTGTTTCAGATAACTACAAACGTTTGGTCTTAGAAATAGCGGTTAATCTTCTTTTATAAAATTCTATTTTAAACGCTATAAAATCCAAGAACAGCCACTGTCTTACAGAATTAAAATGTGTTTGGTGTAAATTTTTACTTCTTGAAGACATCAAGAGATCGTCTTGAGAATTGCTTAAATAAATAAATACAACGCATTCTTCTTGTCCATCGTAATTGAAGTCACCTCAAATCTAAATATTTGCTTGATAAAGAACATCAAAAACTCTTTTGGATTGACACGAAAGCAGACTGTAGTAACATTCGAGACTTCCGAACTATCACATAACATAACATCACGCCTTTATTCCCGAAGGGGTAGGCAGAGGTGCACACAGAAGTAACACCCACTTTTCACTATTTATGTTATGAGTCCCATGTAATAGGCGGTGAGCCTATTGCCATATACCGGGCACAATTCCAGACTCCGTGCTAAAACTGAGATTTTTTTTAAAACCCAGTAATACTTTGCCCGACCCGGGAATTGAACCCGAGAACCTTTGCGCGGCAGTCGCACTTGCGACCACTCTGCCAACGAGGCAGTCCGAACTATCAATAAAGCTATTTCTTTGTTTATTCGCGTAGATACTGCAACCCGCGCTATGACTTTCCCACCCAAGAGCAGAGTCTGGAGATGGCACTGTACATACTGCGGCAGAAGAAAGTGGCGCTCGAGAAGGTCGGCAAGAAATTTTCGTCCGTGCTCATTGTTTGCGGGACTTATACTATCGGTAAGCGGCCTAGTTTTTTTGACCTTCTTTGTAATTTTAAGTAGGGGATGAATAGCGATCAAATTCGGTTGATAAGTATCGACATTTTAAGCGGAATGATAAATGGCAGTTGTATTACACTAATCGGGTGCACAATTTATTATACATGTCATTCCTACTCTTCACGCGGGTATCAAAAATGTCGATTTAGGGACTACACTTTTATGCTAGCTAAGAAGGAGGCGGGGTGCATGAGGGAACGAACCTCCTCACGTCCCAGCCGTCGCGAGAGACACTCCGGGCGTCGGGGATCGCGTAAGCACGGTCCTGCGGACGGCGAGCATGGGTGACTCGCCGCCCGACCAGAACCAGACCCGAGCGTACGGAACCAAGCGTTCCGTTTTCAAGGAGCCATCAGACCACCACAGATGGGTCCCAATAGGGCTGATGCTGAGCCGCGGAAGACTTAACGGATAACCGGGGCTCCGGCTTAAAATGCAGGAGAAGAAACGGGGTAGTTTTTAGACAGAAAGAGTCTGACACTCCCTCCCGCCTCACATGGGCGGGAGAAGTCATTGGATGATTGTCCCCCCTCAAAAAAAGGGACTACACTTTTGATAGAGACCTACCACTGGCAGAAATACTCTTTATTATAATCTCGAATCTTACAAACTAATTCTATCCGTCAATCTACACTCCATGCGGTGTAGCATGGTGCGGGTGACAGTTTCAGTAACGTTTCGTTTTACTCTTGAGAGCTGCTGCGATTTACAAATTATGACCTCAGTATTTCAGCTGCACCACATTTGTAATATACTAAATCATTATTATGTGTAGAAACTTAAATTTAAACTAGCAGAATTTTCTAGTCTACAAATAAAATCAAATTGAAAGACAAAAATGCAAAGTGTAATTCGTATAACGTAATGCCATAGACGTGTTTAGTGATGGGATGTACTGCTACGATGAATAGTCGATATTTGTATAATAAAAAAAAGGTAGATTGTGCGCAGTTCAATTTTTATTGTTAAAAAGTCTATAAATAGATAAATTCAATATCAGAACATTTGTAGGGTAGGCTTACTTCTACGAATACAATATTTTTTAAATAATCAATTAAAATCAAATTGCTAAAAAGAATTACACAAATAAGTATATTATTTTATTCGTCTGAACTTTCATCAGAGTCTGTAACATATGAATTGTCACTAAATTCGTCATCTGAATCTGTGACAGATATTATTAACGATGAATCCATCACGATGTCAATATGAATGTCACGATCCCAATCAGACATAATTTCCCTTTTTATTTTATTTACGACCTTCGACCAGTTTTCAGGTTGAACATTGTTGATGGCATCTTGTAGTAGGGTCAACATCTTATTTGCCGTAAATGGCGGTGAAGTATTATTTCTTGCGGCGTGACCTAAAATAAACGGACTCATGAGAAAAAGTATATCATTGCAAATCAATGAATAATTTCATAGGTAATGCTTACGTTTTCCAATGCTATTTTTGGAAAGTTGTGTTTTATAAAACTTCAAGAATTAAAATCATACCTTTTATTTGGGCCCAGATTAGCTCAATAGCGTTATACTGGCAATGGTAGGGTGGCAATCGAAGGACCTGGTGACCCTTTTGTCTTGCCATCTCGTCCAGAGCATATGTAGGAGTTATTGGCTTATGACGACGGACTAAGGCAATAAGCTCCGACTTTAACATTTTTATGTCTGCTGAAACTCCGTTTTCATTCAGCCAGTTAATCAACTCACTTTTGCGGTTCGATTGGTTTGGGGGTTTATTGATTTGCACCGAATGGTAGGGTGCATTGTCCATTATTATGGTCATAGGCTCTTTTAAATTGTTCAATAGACCTATAAACCAATCTTTGAATTTTTCATAGTTCATCTCCTCGTGATACTCCGTAGTTTTTTTTGACTTAAATGCAAGCAAACAATTAGGGACAAATCCACTTGCTGTACCAGCATGACAAATAATAAGACGTTCACCTTTGCCCTCCGGTACCTTGGTACACGATTGTGCTGTATCGTCGGTCCAACTTTTATTCATTGTGTGGTTGGCGTTTAGCCACGTCTCATCCAAAAACACAACTTTGCTCCAATCACTTCTGCTTTTGGCCTTCCTTAAAAATGTGCATCTTGCTAGGGCAATGTCAGTCCTTTCCATAATGATTTTCCTTTTGTTTACTTTTTTGTAAACAAAGCCAATATCTTTAATGACTTGTCGCAACGAAGTAATGCCTCCCTTAAACAAGTCAGCTCCTTTCAATGAGTTTAGAAGTTTGAGCAATGTGGGCAGCTCCTTTCTTCTATAATAATCATAAATATGATTTCTAATTGCATCCTTAGCAAAATCATCTAAGTCTGTGATTAGCTTCACCTTGGTCCGTTTTTTGTTGGGTGTCGATAATTTATTTTCTGACGTACCTTCTTGGCCAATTTTCTCACGTGTTATACGGGAAACAGTATTGCGGCCAATATCAAGAGCTTCGGCTACTCGTTCCACAATTCTATTTAAAGGTAACAAAGGTCCATTATTTTGTAGTTCTCTTTCAAAGTAGTCTCTGAGACGAACTACAAACTCCCTGGCTTGACTACCCAAAACAGTTTTTTTCGTATGCTTAGGCATCGTAATAACAACAAATATACCTACAAACAAACTCAACACACCGTAACAGTTTAATGGAAATAAAAATGAACAATGAAATCGAAATGCGTGTCACATACAAGGCGCTAGCACTCGTACTGAGACTGACAGCATCTCATGCACGTGAAGACAAAATGGCCGCCGCGCCGATGCGCCCAGGAAAAATGTTGTCATGAACAAAAATATAAACCTGATTTTGATCATTTTAAATAATTACAAAGAAAGTAATTAAATTGACAAGCTTATTATTTAAATTATTATACACGTTAATTAATTATTTTATTTAATATCTATCTATGAGACATAGTCATATAATATAAGTAGATTTGTCATCAGTTTAATCCCTAGAAACTAAGCATTAGTAAAACCCCGAAAACGGAATCTCATCTTAAATCCAAGTTAAGTCGCGGAGAACCTAACGGGTAACCGGGGCTCCGGCTCGACGTGCAGGAGAAGGAACGGGGTGGTTTTTAGTCAGTAAGAGTCTGACACTCCCTTCCGCCTCACCCAGGCGGGAGCAGTCATTCGATGATTTTCCCCCCTTAAAAAAAAAAAAAAAATCCAAGTTAAACAATTATTTGATTTTTCATAACAATATTAAAGCGAACTAGATATATGCAGCGCATATCGTCTGCGATAAAAATGAATTGCTAAACGTCACTTCCCTAGTCATGAGGTACTGACCGATGTCAACGTCATACTGGCAACTGTCACCCGCACCATGCTACAGCGCACGGAGTATAGAGGAGGCTCATTTTTCCAGCGGAGTGGACTATGATTTACTGGTTGGTGTGTGATGAGGTTGAATCTTAATCAGACTCTGTTGATTGTCAATTTTTTTTCATATATCACTTTTTACTCTTAGCCAGATATATGAAGAACAAAAAAAACAAAATAAAACAAGTTTTATTCCACAATAACTGACACAGCCATGTACCGCAGGCAAGGAGAAGTTCTTCCTAGGCATGTCCCGGCGCGTGGGCTGCTCGGTGTGGGCGTGCCCGGAGAAGGACCGCGTGCTGCAGGCCGTGGAGGGCCGCAGCTTCAGCCACGCGCCGCCCCACGCCTGCCAGCTGCACGTCGTGCCCATGAGGGACCTCACGCATGAGGTACGATGCTCGCTCAAATACTCGTAACAATTTTAAGGCGTGCTTAATTATTTTTTAATGGCATAAGCCGGTAATCGAGCAGACGGATCACCTAATGATAAGAAATCGGCAACGCCCATGGACACCTGGAACACCAGAGGCGTTACAAGTGCGTTACCGGTCTTTTGGGGATTTGAAGTTAGAGGATTGTTGGGGATTTGGGGATTGGGGAAAGGGGAGGGGGGAATTGGGCCTCCGGCAATCTCACTCGCACGTCGAACGTTGTTTCACGTCGGTTTTCTATGAGGCCGTGGTATCACTCCGGTCGAGCCGGCCCGTTTGTGTCGAAGCATGGCTCTCCCACACTTAAAATCCTTAAAGTCTTATATGCTAATATAATCTTATCCTAAAGTTAAACCGAAATGGAATTAATTATTTTGTGTTGTAACAGAAACTACGCAGCTACCTGGACAGTTTGAAGGGCGCGTTCTCAGAGATAGTGGCGTTCAAGCCCAGCGGCTGGGAGAATGGCAAGTCCAGCAGTGTCGAGAGAGATATGGTCACCATACACGGTAGGTTACATTATTTAACTCTTTAAAATGAAACTCGTTAACCCCTCGAGCGTCCTTATGAGCACCCGGTGGATCATAAGAAAAAATGCTCCAAATGTCACGTGTGCACCCGTTGGATCATAAAGAACGCGGACGCTCGACGGGTTAATAGAACTGGGCCTTTAGCCAAACGCCACTTTAGCGATTGTCTACAGAGAGAGTAGAAAATAAAATGTATGGGGATGACACTGGCAAGTGTCAAAATTTACGTCAATGCCATATAATTTGGTTTTCTATTCTACATGTAGACAAGCGCTAAGCATTTGGCTACAGCTGCTGTATAGTAGAACTCTTTAGATAATTTTCGATGTAGAATCTATTTATTCGTATTCTTTAATTAGTGACTGCCTCGTTGGCCGAGTGGTCGCAATTGCGACTGCCGGGTAAGGGTTCGATTCCCGGGTCGAGCAAATTATTACTGGGTTTTTAATAAAAATCTCAGTAGTAGCACGGAGTCTGGAACTGTGCCCTGTATATAGCAATGGGTTCACCCCCTATTACATGAGACTCATAACATAAATAGTGAAAAGTGGGTGTTACATTGTACAGTGGCATAATGTGCACCTCTGCCTACCCGTTCGGGGATAAAAGGCGTGATGTTATATTTATATTTTATTTTTCTTTAAAAAAAAACGTTGCCTCACACTGGGATTTTCTCCTGTGTCGTGGGTGCGTTTACAAACATACAAGTTCACATACACATGACACCCAGACCCGGAACAACAATCTGTGGATCAGATCACACAAAGAGTTGTTCCGTGCGGGAGTCGAACCCGCTCCACATAGCGCGGCAGACAGTTGTCCAGCCACCGCGCCAACCGTGAAGTCAGATTGTTAATAGCATATTGTCCGTTGCAGGTATCCCGTACAGTGAGCATTCAAGTTTCTCGGAGTTGATTCGGTTCGTGAAGTTCCTGAAGCCGAAGCAGGTGGTGCCCACTGTCGACATCTCCGGCGGAGTCAGGGCCGTACAGGTACATATACCATATTGGAATTATTTCTGTACAATCTCTTAGTCCAGTGACATAAACACTCTGTTAGAAGCCCTCTTACCCCTGTAAAGAGAAAGAGAGGCAAATAGAGAAGGATAAGCATGAGAGTGAGATAAAGGGACTCTTATTATTAAGTTTTTTTTTCTATGAGATATTTGTCAATGGTCAATATGTGATGATAGAATTACTGTTTTTGTATTCTTTTAACGGCGTAACATAGGCTGGACCAACCACTAATAAGATCTCGGGGTACAATACCATGTGTTCACAAAAATAAATGATTTTTTTTAATTTTAATAATGAGCCTATTTCTAATTCACATTGTTGCTAATTATTATTTTCTGCTTACTATGCCGAGTTAATTGACGCCATATTTTATAGTGATGAGTTTTTAAAGGGCGCTTGTCAGCTTTTTCTACACTTAATAAAATAGTTGCCCCGTTGGCTGAGTGGTCGCAAGTGCGACTGCCGGGCAAGGGGTCTCGGGTTCAATTCCCGGGTCGGATAAAGTTTACTAGGTTTAAAAAATCTCAGTAGTAGCACGGATTCTGGAATTGTGCCCGGTATATGGCAATTGGCTCACCCCCTATTACATGGGACCCATCACATAAAAAATAGTGAAAAATGGGTGTTACATTGTACAGTGGCATAATGTGCACTTACCTCTTCGGGGATAAAAGGCGTGATGTTATGTAATGTTAATAAAATATCAGTGATTAGAAAAAATATCTGTATTTTCACTTTGTTGTATGTGTTACAACAGAAATACTTCCCCTGTCCGCTGGTGCACAAGGAGGAGCTCCAGTGTCAGAGCAAGGTCACGGACTTCTTCAGCATACAGAACCAACAACAAGTGCCGGCCGTCACCTGAACCGAAGGTAACCACTTTACATCACATTATACGTAGAGGAGGAAACTGAAAACACAGATATAAGTGTGGGAGTGCCATGCTTCGGCACGAATGGGCCGGCTCGACTGGAGTGATACCACGGCGTCACAGAAAACCGACGTGAAGCAACGCTTGCGTTGTGTTTCGTCGTGTGAGTGAGGTTACCGGAGGCCCAATAACCTTTCCCTTCTCCAAACGATCCCCAAAGCCGGTAACGCACTTGTAACGCCTCTGGTGTTCCAGGTGTCCACGGGTGACGCCGATTGCTTACCATCAGGTGATCCGTCTGCTCGGTTACCGGCTTATGCCATAAAAAAATATTTATCCTAGGAGAACCATAATTCACAAGCGGGCCGGCTTTTATAAATTGGGCAAATTTCGCGCGGTATTTTCAACCTTCACTAAGATAATCGTGTGCGGTTTTTCTTTGTGGTATATTTAAAACATTTCATAGTTTAGAAATGAGTCGCGAGAACACCGCAAATGCGACCTTGTGTTCGTTTCTTTATGCATTTTTTATTTAAGTTGCATTGCAAAGTTGAGATTAGGTACTTTGATTTTTTACTAGTACTGAGTATTTGTTGGGGGTGGATCTCTTCAATAAATTGAGTGGACTGTACGTAAAAATTGGTATAATAGAATAAACGGTACAGTAAAAATGGCGTCTTGTAGGAGACGTTTCATTGTAGTTCCAAAAGTACATGGAGGCCGTGCGCCGCCCAGTGGCCGGGCCCGCGGAGTACACTTGTATGGAGGAGAGACCGCCGGCCTCCTGGGACCATCTGCCTGCGTTCACGTCACTTGTTTACGTTAAGCTTATAATAACACAATGCCCAATATTTTTATAATAGTTATAGAGTTAAAAAAAATATTGGCTTATGTGTTATGGAGAGCAAAGAGGACCTAAACTACTAGATAAAAAAAATTGGTTGCCTGTCAAGTCGGTATACGGGCGAAAGTTTTACGTGACAACGACTTTGAGTGGTAAAATCTTTTTATGTCTGTCTCTCTCGCTCTTAGGAGGGCTAACCATGCCCGAGTGGAAGGGACGCGTGCCTCTCACTCGCTCTCATTGTGAGCGCATAACGTGAGCGGAGCGTAACGCAGTTTCTTGAAGTGTCATCCGGCAAACCAATTTATGAGACGTTGTCACGTCAATAATTCAGCTAATTGACGATCAGGAACTACACTAGTAGGTACCATATAGTCAGCGTAACAATGGTAGTTTGAATACATTTGTTTGTTTCAGATTGTGTTCGGGATGATATTAGCTAAGCTGCCACTACTTCACCAGTCTGTGATTTTTTGATATGATATTATTGTATATTAGGTTACTATTTATAAAAAGTTGATTGATTTATATTAAACATTATTGAAATAAGCTACTTTTTAATTATTTTACTATATTACTTTTAATATAACCGTTTTGTTTGTGTTTATTGTTTGTTTTTTGTAGTTAATTTTTATATGAAAATATTATCTTCGATCGGCTTTGTATACAAATTATTTGTTTATATTAAAATTTTCGTGAGACATACGAAATTAATTATTGTTTTCTGCTTACGTAACTTTTTGACTCAGAATTTGATTAGTTTGAAGCCAAGGTAGAAGTTCATATGCATGAGTAGCATTCCGCAGCTACCGGGCGGGGGGGGGCACGCCGCACGGGTTTGCAGCGTAACGTGGCACCCCCCCCTCCCGGCGGCAGTGCGGCACACACAGCGCGTGGCGCTGTGTGTGCCCCGCGCTGGCGGCTGCGTCGGTGTTGAGTTCGAATTCCAGATCGACACACACACAGTGGTACACGAGTGTATCATCTATGGGTACACGCCGCGCTCCCGAGTCACTCGCACCGCGCAGGCACGGAACACTGCTAATAAATATCAGCCTCTACCATGGGTTGAAACTAGTCGACGTCCTATTCAAACAGTTACGTGAGTAAACCGAAAACAAATGATTAATTATATACAAATTATTAATAATTATTTGTTTATATTATGATACTAAAAAAATCGACCCATTTTATATGGAATCATTTGATCTAAATTCTGTGGCAAATCTCTAATTGATAGCTTATTCAAGGTTTTGAGGACCAACATACAGTAAAACGGGGTGCATAGAATTCAAAGAGTGAATAGATACAGAAATAGGGTAAATAAATGTTAGAACATTTCCCCAACATTTATTCACCCCTAGTCTGTATCTATTCACCCCTCGAATTCTATTTACCCCGTTTTACTAACTTTAGACTTGTGACATAAACAAGATTATGAACAAAATAAAACGCCAAATAAAAACTACAAAGAAAATATATTTATACAGTTACACAAGTGCACATTGATATTGAGTGGGTTGTCGCAGCTGGCTGCGCCGGCGCAGGCCTGCAGGCGCGCCAGTATGAACCTGTACCAGTTCCGCACGGACGGGAACACTTCGTCCACTGAGTTGCGGACCTCGTACGGGTCGCGGTTCAAGTCGTATATTTCTACGAATTCCTGAAAAAGAGATTTTTTTATAATAAGTGTGGGAGAGCTATGCTTCGACACAAATGCGCCGGCTCGACCGGAGTACTACCACGACCTCACAGAAAACCGACGTGAAACGACGCTTCCGTTGTGTTTCGTCGCACTAGAATTTACCGGAAGCCCAATTATCCCCTCCCCTTATCCCCAATCACTGAATCCCCAATAATCCTCAAATTCCTAATCCCTACAAGGCCGGTAACGCCTCTGGTGTTTCAATTACTTACCATCAGGTGATCCGTCTGCTCGTTTATCGGCTTATCCCATAAAAATACTAAGATTTTCTCTTGTGTATTTACAAACATACAACTTCACATAGGTACACATGTTCTTCGTTGTCGTAGGTGCGTTTATAAATATACAAATAAATAGATATCTAATTCAGATCCGCAACATCATTTCTGGACCAGGCAGAGTTGTTTCGTGCGAGAATCGAATCCGCGAAACGTTACGTAGCAGTAGATTGGCCCAGGCACTACGTCAACGGTGCAATAAAAAAACGACAAACACCCTATGATACTACTGCTAAATTATGGACAGAACCTATAAGAAGTTTTGTCATAATCAAAAAAATTACTAGTAAAATGTTCCATGTTTTAGGTGTCAATGGGCGACGTGCGCCGATTGCTTACCATCAAATATCCGACTAATGGTTTGCGCCTCTATTTCATATAGAACATGGAATATTATGCACTTTATCACGCCATAAAGAGTAAGCAGTCTTCACCACATAGTATAAAACAAAGTCGCTATCCGCCGTCTGTCTGTCCTTATGTATGCTTAGATCTTTAAAACTACGCAACAGATTTTGATGCTGTTTCTTTTAATAGATAGTGATTCTATTATGTATAATACATGCATATTGCATCCGTGCGAAGCCGGGGTGGGTCGCTAGTACGTAGTAAATAGGTAGGTAGAAATATAATAAATCCTACCTCTTGATCGGCAAACTCGCAGTACTTCATGTTGATTCTGTTCACGAAGTGACGCACGCATGCGTACGTGTTGTTGCGAGCGTCCTGGCACTTACACGCGTATTCCGGGTAGCATTCCTGTATGAAACAAAGCAAGTTTACGTTATACAAATACAAAATATTGACTACGAGCTGTACCCAGCGCTTTGCCCGCAATGGGGTAGACGACTAATTTTTATTTTAATGTCCGTCTGATAGATTATTTAAAAACATTAGACACGTATTTTTTATTTTCTCACAGAAACGAATAGTTTCGAAGATATATTGATTTGAAATGTCGCGTGACGTCACTTCTCAGTACATTTTATACTAAGGAATGACGTTTTAGCCCCCACTCCTAAACTTTGATTCGTTTTATCTAAGTATTGTTTTATTATACGACAAAATGAAAAAATACGTGTCTAATATTTTTTCATTACCTAACTTACGGACTAATTATATTTTTAATTTTCATACCCTGTCATCATCCCCATTTAAATTCATTGCAACGACAATGGTCCCATTTATGGAATGGTTGTGTCAAATCTGAAACCTTTGGAGCATGCACAGCAATTTCGCGCCTTTTATCCAAGAAGGGTAGGCAGAGATACATATTACGGCACTTAATGTCACTGTACAATGTAACCCCCACATTTCACTATTTATGTTATGAGTCCCATGTAATAGGGGGTGAGCGTATTGCCATGTACTGGGCCCAATTCCAGACTCCGTGCTTCTACTGAGATTTTTTTTAAAACCCAGTAGTAGTTTGCCCAGCCCGGGAATAAACTCGCGAACCCCTTGCCGAGATGAACTTGCGACCACTCGGCCAAGGAGGCAGTCAAAAAATCAACACATTATCAAGTATATAGTTTACAGTTTTATCAAGAATCAAGACCCAAGAGATATATATATATGTATGTATATACCTCGACCAAATAGGCGATTAAAAAGACCTAAATTAAAAGCACCCTCAATGGACGAACATACACGAAGACATTCATGAATTAATTATTATGTTTTCTGCTTATGTCGGAATACTCAAACGTTACTCAATTTTAAGTCGCGTATAGTTAAATAATACTCGAGTATAGTTCTGTCTCTACAAATTCTTTGTGAAATGACAGAGATGGCACGATATTTAAGTACGACTTAAAATTGAGTAACGTTTCTGTATTTCGGCATTAGTCACGTAACTGTTTGACAAGGAACAGAACAGTCGCCGCGTCGAGGGTCGCGGAAGCTGTTCATGAATAACCCTCTAGCATGGCTTGAAACTAGTCGAGTTCCTCGTCAAACACTTACGTGAGTAAGCCGGGAACATAACATAACGAAAGTTTTAATATAAAGATTGATGAATTTAGATGAAGTTGATAGTGTTGTTTAGCGTTCCATTGTCTCTGTCTACCCTTATGGGAAATAGCCGTGACGATCATGTATGTATGTGTGTACTTATGTTGGTATATAATTATTATTATTTATAGAAGTTATTGTGAAAAACAAACACAACACGCCCATTTTTAAAAGAGTAATTTGTTTTTAATAACCCCCCTCCCCATTTTGATTGAATTCAGGGGCGGGTGAATTTATTACATAAAGAAACCAGCATGAAACTCGTGATGAAACACCAAAAGGCCGACAGCACACTTCTAACCCTGATGCTGCGGCTGTCTAATACCCATAGGCGGCTCTGATCACTTACCATCAGGTCATCCGCCTCCTCGTTTATCGGTATCCCATAAAAATACAAATCTATCACAAATCCAGGCACCCTGCCATTACCGACACTTTTCTAAAACCGAAAATATCTATATTATAGTGTATAATTATGTCAACTTATTCAAATCTGATTTGTTTCATCGGATTATCGACTTTGTAGTAAAGCAATAAAGTTGATAATTTAACTTTGATAGAAAAGATACATTACAATTGGTCAAAGGCCAAAAGTCCACTGCCACCGTAAGACTACTATCGGTTGCGCTGCAGCGCTTACACACATGCACACGCATATTTGTATCCGTGTGCGTACGCGTGCGTGTGTTTATGCGTACGCACGCGTTTTTATGCACATTAATATGAAATTACTCACGCATTGCCGTGTGAACATCACTCACGGTGGTAATGGACTTTTGAACTTTAACATGTATATTGAATATAGTTACTCACCGCCAGTCGATTGCCGTCATACTTCCACGGACACGACTCTGCCACGGAGCCGTCGCGACCCTCGCCATGGTATTCCACCAGCATATACCTGCAAATATATAACATATTTACATACATAATGCCATTACATTGTTTCTTTAATGGAATGTTAACCTTATTCTTCTGTACATTAAGTCGAAATTCTATTTCAAGATTGTCGTACCTTGATAAGCTGATTACAGTTTCAAATTCCTTAAATGAGATATTACTAGCAATTATAACTTAATACCATAAAGTTTAAAATCTAAAGAAAAGACACGAAACATAATAGCGTGCATTGATAGGATTTTAAACTTTATTGCACCTGCCAATAAAGTCTAAAATAATAACACTTACCTCTCCACCTGCCCCTCGCTATGTCCAAACAGGTTAATAGGCTTTCCATCCATATGTTCCGGAGGCTGTATTTCAGCCAGCTGTAGTATAGTAGGAGCCAGGTCCACGTTCAGCACTGGGATCGAGTTTGAGGAGTTGGGAGTGATGCCTGGACCTCTGATGAGTAGGGGCACCTTTGTGTCTGACTCGTACGGCTGACGCTTGTCATATACTTGGGAGAATTGGCCTAGATAGAGAAAAATATTAAAGATAGAAATAAAGAAAGTCTGTAGATGCAGTAAACGTAGACTGGCAAATAATGCCGACGGCACAGTAATGCAATGGATTTTCCAGTTTAAATCGCGCTTAAGTATAGTTCAATCACAACAAATTCTTTGTAAAATGTCAGAGATGGAAATGGCCAATGGGTACTTGCCAATTCGTCAAATTCAATACTTTTTTCGAACTGTCGAAAACCAAAGTTTTCTATGAATTTTGTGCGAGATTGTGACGTCACGATTTTTTAGCGTCAAACGGCATACTTATTTCTTAAAAATTTACTGTAAATATATTAAAATGAAGTTGGTCACAAAATCAATTAATGAAAGTTTGATTATTTTTTAACATTTTATTGTATTGAACAGTCGAAATAATTTATTTTTGATTAAGGAAAGTACCCAATTGGGTAGCCTTTCACTTTCAGTATTCGGGCGTAAGTATGAATTGTATGTGACCATGAATATTCAAAAATAAATAAAATAATTTGACAATGTTATTTTAGAGACTAAGACCTATAGTGAACTCAGTAAAGCTTCTGCACACGTTAATAGACACAAAAAGTAATCTATGTTTATTTCAGAATTAATGAGTGACTGAATTTTCATTCCAATCTGATGGCTAGACAAGCCATTCTTATGAACTAGATGGCAAGTATGGGAGAGCCTTGCTTCGGCACGAACGGGCCGGTTCGACCGGAGTGATATCACGGCCTCATAGAAAACCAACGTGAAACAACGCTTGCATTGTGTTTCCTCGTGTGAGTAAGTCTACCAAAAGCCCAATTACCGTCCCCCTCCCCCCTCCCACAATCTTCCCAATCCCTGAATCCCCAACAATCCTCAAATTGCTTATCATAATGCCCCATAAGGCTGGCAACGGACTTGTGACGTCTCTGGTGTTTTGGGTGTCCACGGGCGGCTCCGATCGCTTACCATCAAGTGATTCATCAGCTCATTAACTAGCCTAATCCATAAAAAAAGAATGAATGAGTTTGTGTACTGAATTTTCATTTCGATCCGATGGCTAGAGAAACCATCCTTATGGACGTGATACATTGACAACACCCATACAAACCGAAGATAAATCATTACAAAAAAAAAATTATAAACAAACGAACTACGTACCAACATGATACCCATTATCCGAAGTGTAGATAATATAAGTATTATCCAATAGAGCCTGTTTTTCCAACGCTCCCACTACATCGGCTACCATTTCGTCTACCGCCAGTAGACTCTCCCATCGCGACCGGTAGACACGGTCTAATTCCGGTAGCATAGACTCCGGGAGAGGGGAGGGAGGCATCCGCATTAGCCAGTGTTTGTCCTGTGGTTGAAACAAAGTATATTCGTAGGTATTTTAACGCAACATAATGCCACTTCGAACATTATTACATTTATTACTCGAAGAGGTAGACAGAGAGATACAATGTAGTGTCCACTTTTCATCAGTCATGATTACAGTCCCATATAAAAAGGGGATCAGATTATTACTAGGTACTACTTCGTATATAACTGAGAAAGTATTCACAATGTCGAAAAAATCTCAATACAACTTTGCTCGACCTGAGAACTGAACATGAGACCATGATTCAAGAGTCTCACTAACCTCCTGTCCGTCGGAGTGCAGATATACGCGAGATACTACGTGTTTTATATTGTGTCTCATATATCGAGAGAAAAGAGGTTAGCGCTCACTCGACAAACGAGGCAGACACTTCAAAATCTAAGATAAAAAGAATCTCCTTCCTTTACATAACATCACGCCTTTTATCCTCGAAGGGGTAGGCAGAGGTGCACATTATACCACTGTACAATGTAACATCTACTTATCACTATTTATGTTATGAGTCTCATGTAATAGGGGGTGAGCCTATTGCCATATACCGGGCACAGTTCTAGACTCCGTGCTACTACTGAGAATTTTTAAAATATCCAGTAATACTTTGCCCGACCCGGGAATCGAACCCTAGACCCCTTGCCCGGCAGTCGCACTTGCGACCACTCGGCCAACGAGGCAGTCCTCCTTTCTTTATACTAGTTTAAAATCCTTTCAACTTACCTCAGCAGGAATATTAAAATTGGGATGTCGAACAGCAGTAACATTGCTGAACTTCCCCTCATGTCGAGGTGCTGGAGTGAAGGGCTGATGAGGAGCTGGTGGCGCTAACACCATGAGGAAGGGGTCCTGATCCGTCTGGTTCTCTATGTAGCTCACTCCCAGTTCCCGCTGTAAAAAACATGAGTTATGTCATTTTTGCGTTCTGTAGATGGCGCTCTTGTAGCCTAAGGCTGGTGGTAGATAATAATTATTTTTGGTTATGGTATAAATTAGCTAATAGTGATTGGATGTGAATAACTATAGATTGACTATATGGCTAATCGATTTCGGTTGCTTTTAGAGATTTACGGTCGAAATTCATCCAAAATCTGCAAACATAGACCGATTTTTGACCTTAGTTGTGGTATTAATTTTTTAACGTTAGGATTTTCTCCCGTGGGTGTGTTCACAAACATACAAGTTCACATACACATAATACCCAGACACGAAACAACAATTTGTGGATCATACAAAGAGTTGTTCCGTGCGGGAATAGAAAATCGAACCCGCGACATGTTGTGTGGCAGCCAGTTGTCCAAGCACCGCGCCAACCGTGCAGTCGTTGTATTGCGTTTCTATCAAAAATTGATCTTAAACTGTCAAACACCGCGCGGTCACCGGTGACTGCAACCTATTGTTCTTTAATTGTGTCTATAAATACGGTACTCAAAGAGTTAATCCACAGATCAACATCTGTAGAGATAAGTTATTAGCATCGACGTCATTAAACTATGGCGTCGATGATAGTTATTAATTTCAGTCGTTAAACACACAAAACAGGCTGACCATTTTGGAGATACCTACCTACCATAGTAGAAACATACAAAAACAAAATAATTTACTATTTCTAGCTACACCAATTAAGTTATTACACATAAAACGAAATAAAAATTCTATTATAACATGTTTATTAACTTTAACCAAAAACAGAGGTTAAAGTATCATTGGAGATAATATTTTTTGTTTTATTTTATCCACGTACATACACACGCACATCAATCTATACAAAACCAGTTTATCCTGGTGTCGCGTCGCATCATCTTTCCGCACATTTAACGTTCAGTTTATACTGGTTATGTAAAGCTCGATGTCTAGCCGTGGCCGTGTGTACCATATCTACTTATTAAAGAAGCAAGAAACGAAGATTAATAATTAAGAAAAAGAAATGCATCAAGTATTTCGGCTGTAGCCTCTCCGCTTAGGTTGCTTGTGAACGGCCACAACGTCAATTTGTACCAGTTTTTCAATTTAGTTACATCAATCAGCTCAATTCACTCGGGTTGGGGCGTGGCCAAAAATCCTACAATATGGCATACTAGCTTCTGGATAAAAAGTAGCCTGTGTTATTGGAATAACACAGGCTACTTTGGTATGGTATGGATACCATAATATGTTCCAAATTTCATCCTGATCCATTTAGCCGTTTTGACCTAAAGGAGTAAAAAACACACAAACATACAAACTTTCGCATGACACTAATATTATGAATGTGAAAGTTCCTTTGTTTAGATGTTTGTCCGTCAATCACACTGAAACCACACGGCGTTAGGATTTCGGAATAGGAGGCAAACGAGCAGACGGATCACCTGATGGTAAGCGATCAGCGCCGCCCATGGACACCCACAACACCAGAGGATACACAGGTGCGTTGCTACTGAACGGATTTTGATGAAATTTGGTATTCAGGCAGGGTATGGGCTGACTTAGGTGATACAATACTTTTTACATTAAAGCTCCCATGGGATTAAACAGATGATTATTATACATCGACAAAGTCGCGGGCAATAGCTAGTCATTTTTTTTATCTGTTTTTTATTAACTGGTTTTTATCTTTGATATGCCAACCCCATCATACCTTTTAAAAAAATGTAACCTATCAAATAAGCTAGTCATAATATTTATAATTATGGCAATATTCCAGCTTGAATGGACATACAATCTCAAAAACTGTAGATACTCACAATAACATCAGTGAGATACTGATCAGTGGAGACAGTGGGCACTCCGTTGTTGGAGATGGTATAGTTGTAGTACACAGAGTTGCCGACCAGCCCGTGCCACTCCGTCCAGCCGGGGGGCACTGCTTCTGGACCACCTGTCTCTGGGGTGCCGTACTAAAAACAAAGGTAAAACATAACTATTATCTTTCATGTATCTCTGCAAACAATTCAAACATGTTTTCTTTTGAAAATTACCGCTTTTGTCGCGCATGCTACTAATGATTATGGGTCCTGACCTGGTTTGAAACTAGTCGAGTAGGACCCTATATTTTGCACATTAGAATTTTTCAATCAGATAGTTGCACCGTGTGGGAATCGAACCTACACCTAGTTACGCTTACTAGTTACGCAAAGTATTACTGAGTTTTTTAAAAACGTCTCAGTAGTAGCACGGAGTCTGGACTTGTGCCTGGTAAATGGCAATAGGCTCACCCCTATTACATGGGTCTCATAACATAAATAGTGAAAAGTGGGTGTTACATTGTACAGTGGCACTAAGTGCCGTAATGTACACCTCTGCCTACCCCTTCGGGGGTAAAAGGCATGATGTTATGTTATGATGTTATGTTACCTAGTACGCTGTCGGTCGCAAAGCTAGAATGCTTCTATGACTATAGGTACTCATAACCGACTCACCTGATTCAAATACTTGCCAGCATAGAATGTCTTGTACCCAGCCTCTTTCAGAAAGTTCCCGAAGGTGACATTCTGGACGGCTTCCCTCCAGAATATTCCGTTACATCCTCCGAGCTCGCTGTTGGTGACTGTCCTGTGGTTGTGTTGGTAGAGGCCCGAGAGCAGGCTGGCGCGGCTCGGACAGCATATTGGGGAGGTCACATACTGCAATGTGTAGTTGGTTTTGTACGTCTTTTTTATTACTTTTTTTAAACGTTACCTCACACTAGCCTTTCCTCCTGTGTCGTGGGAGCGTTTACAAACATACAAGTTCACATACACATGACACACAGACCCGGAACAACAATTTGTGGATCACACAAAGAGCTGAAACAACAATTTGTGGATAACACAGAGTTGTTCCGTGAGGGAATTGAACCCACGGCATGTTGCACGGTAGCCACATATCCAGCCGCCGCCAACCGTGCAGTCGTGGAATGGCCTTTGAGCTCATAAACAAGGTAATGGAGTATCTGATGGGACGTTACTTTCGTCTAAATCTGTAGACGTTACATAAATGGCACCTATATATTGAACTGCTGGAAAACTGCTAAGCTATACTGTAACTAGAGTTACCAACATTTTTTGACGAAAAGCGTATAAAATATATTTTAATAGAAAAAATAAAGTATTGTAAATACTACAGAAAAAAGTATGTTTCAATTATCGGCATTAGTTTTAAATTTAGAGTAGGTAGGTACTTAGTTTCTTTAATTACCTATACGTAATTTTCACACAATTTCGTCGATAGTGACATGTGTGATACTCAGTGATACTGATAATTATGGACTAAATGTTAGTGACCAGTCATCACTAACATTTTGTTCAGCAATTATAAGTCGTTTACCATAATCTTTTTTAACTTATAAACACCATTAAGTAGTTAGTACCGTGTTATTCCACGCATTGCAATAAAGGTTAGAAAAAAGTACCAAAATGTTTACCAAAAATAAAGTAGAATACGTAATCTTTAGATACTAATATTATAAATCGGAAAGTGAGTTTGTTTGTTACTACTAAACCGATTGCTTTGAATTTTTGCAGACGTAAAGTTAGAAGTCTGAATTAAATAATAGGGTACTTTTTATCCCGGAAAAATTTGATATTCTCGAAAGAAAAGAAAATTATTGGTATAGATGGCGCTGTGTGTATTGGTATATATTACATAGGCTACTTTTTATCCTTTTGTGACGCGAGCGAAGCCGCGGGTAAAAGCTAGTTATAAATAAAGTACCTATGGTTGGCAACCCTAACTGTAACTGTGAATTCAAACTTTCCAATGAGCTCGATCGCATTCTTTCCTGTCATTGGTTGAAATTATTTCTACAACCAATGACATGGCGGACCGCAATCGAGTGCAAATAGTTACAAAATAGCCTAGTTGGACAGACTTGGAAAACATTTTACGCCTATTGGAAATCGAACCCGAAATCACTTAAAAAATATCTAATTGGTCAAGTTGTTACTGTCTAACATGCTTTAAAACTTAGGCTAGGGCTGTCCAAACTATATAGGTACCCTAGCAGGCTAATTAATTTTCTTACAAAAGCTGGAGGGCCAGAAAAATATTTTCACGTTGTATAAAGACGTTTAACATTGTATTTTTTACTCACACACAAAACTTGTATACAAATCATACACTGAATTTCATATTTTTGTTTGGACAGCCCTGACTTGGACAATTATTCATAGGTTTTTTGGGAAGTCTCATTAGATATACCTACCTAAGTACATACCTACTTATCTTTATTATGCAAAATGTTACTTATCTCACTTGTAAGTACCTCCTTTCATACTTTGAAATATCTATGAACGAATTTAGCATAAATACAATAACCTCTACTGGTCAAGATCTCCACCGCTCCGCTCTCCACTTACACCAATATAAACCTTATTTTCTTCGATGATTAGAGACTACTTATTTTTGTATGAACAAATGTTATTGATTTTTCATAGAAGTTATATTATGGTACATACGAACAAACTACACGTTTGTAGTTCCTTCAGTGGGTAGGTATGTCATTTTGTAAACATAGCAAGATCACCGTATGTCGCTATGTACTAAGGATACTTTTTATCCCGATTAAATGCTCTCATGGGACATTCTACGCGTACGAAGTCTCGGGCAACAGCTAGTGTTACATAAATTGTAAAGAACTCTGGAGGCGGTAATACCTAAGCGATTTATTTATTTTCCTTATTGATAAACGTAAGTATTAGCCACTAAACAAGCCTCGATATTTGCAGCAATAGGTAACATACCATAATTATAATTAATTATTTTACTGTTTTTTAACAGCTGTGTAATTAAACTTACCGAATTAGTAAACGTGACACCTTCATCAGCAATAAACCGTTGCACGCTCTTCATGGGCGTCTGAAATAAATAAATGAAATAAAACAACAGTTCATTCCTAATGTATTTATTTGCACATCACTATCACTGTACTAACCATGCCCCCCAACACAAGATCTTGATCATCTGTCAACACCAAAACTATATTCGGCCTCTTTTGACAAACACTTACTCCGAGAAGCGAAAAGAACAATAAATAATTTAACATTTTTTATGTATAATTCTTAAACTTAGGAGAATAGAATTGATTGGAGTATGATGTGTTTATTGCGGCATCGCGGGCATTATCTCAAGCCCGGCGCACTCGCTCGCGATCACTACGCCGGCTGCGAATATGCCCACGCTCTTTACTAGTGACCTGCAAGATTAAAAAACATAAACATTGTTGTACAGATTAAAAATACATAAACATTCTAGCACAGACTATAAAAAATATATTGAACATACATTTCAACCTATTTTCCTTGACAATCATATAATTTTCGTGAGGAAAAAAATGGAAGTAGTAAAATTACTACATAATATAGTAAAAATATATGACTTTACATGAAACTAGTGACATTTTTGACGGCATATTGAAATTGGTAGGACTACATTAGTCACTGTGTAGCATCATAACATTATAATTGATTCGACATTGACTTTGAGACATGTGAAGATAACCGCTACAATTATCTTGAATGACTAGTTTTGTTACTCCATTATAAATTCCCAAGCTTAGAAAATACAAGTTAACCTTAACTTTCCTAAAGTATTTTGTTGTCATACATTTGCATATTTATCCTACATGAGCAGAGAGAAATTATGTAGAATGATCTGTAATTATGATACATTTATTTAGCTCCTGTGTAGCATAGCATGACATACAGTTACCTTCATATTAATATTATGTAATATCTAATTTAAAATGGCAAATTTCTATAATCAGGTTATAATGTAATGGTAAAATGGGATGAAGAGAATTCGATGGGTGAATAAATACAGAAGACGGATCACCTACGTAGTTTAAACTTCAAAGTTACATAAATAAAAGTCCCTAAGAGTAATATTTTGCTTTCTGACAAATTATAAAAATGTGTTATCATCAACCAACTCAAATGTCTCTTGTTTAAATAACATTCTGAGATAATAATGTCAATAACTGATAAACTTGGCACTTGGTTATTATTAACTATATATAATACATAACTACTGTATTGTAACTGTCAATGTAGCAATGAAGTCCTACTAATATTATAATATCGATAGTTTGTATGTTACTCCTTCATATCAAAACGACTGAAGAGATTGGTATGAAATTTAGAACAGGGGTAGATTATGGTTTGGATTGGAATAACACATTCATTTATTTTATTTATTTTTATTTTCAGCCATGATCGTCCCACTGCAGGGCTGGAACAACACATAGGCTACTTTTTATCCCGCTGCAACATGGCTGAAGCTACTAGCAGAAGCTAGTATTAATAATATTACATGATAGTATTTTATAGTTATTATTAACGCATTTGGATGGATATTACATACATAATAATATCCATTATTATTAGAATATGCATGTCGTTTATAATGAATTGGCATCTTACACATACCAGTACAAATTGATGATTAAAAAAACTAACTTAAAATGACAGGTTACTCACGTGAATATAATGAGCAACAGCTTGACTAGTTTCGAATCAATGAGGGACTCTTCCTCATGAGCGAGAATATATTATATATATACATTGTATGATTTGTATAAACTTCCAGATACCTGAACCTAAACCTATCTGTGTATCATAATAGGTGGTGCTATCTACATCCATAAGCTAAAGGATTTAGTTTTTTTTTATATCACAACAGTGGCAAAATGGGACAGGGCCCACCTGGTAGTAGTAAGTGGTAACCGTGGCCTATGACTGTTTGTTAGTTATGTATTGCCTGTACTCTAGGTAATATTTGGGATTTCCTAAATCACTACTCTGAGAAAAATCATCTTATTGAAGTCAGTGTAAAGTTCAGACAAAATATATTAATCTAATTTTAAGGAATTGTAGGCTTGGTACTGGATATGATTTACTAGAAATTCAGTTACAAAGTATAGTCTGGTAAGTCCTTTGTGTGAAGCGTAAACAAAATGTTTATCAAAGAAACTGTCGTATCCACATTCCACAATAAGAGGTTGTAATTAATTGTAAGAGATCAAAACAAAGGTCGCAAACGATATTTTATTTTATGAAAAGGTTAATAGATATTTCGGTTCTAAGTGTGTAAACCTGAGATCAAAACGTTTCCGTTGACAGCTCTCTCAGCTTTCCCCGCTGAAGCATATTTTTCAATTTTTGAATTCTGTGCTTACGCAAACACTCTTTGATAAGTTCATCGTTAACGTAACGATAATTATTGTAATTCCCTATTTATAAAATGTTGACAGTCTACCTAATTTCGAATATTATTGAAAGAAAAATAAAAATAACCACATTTTCAAAAGAGGTTATATTAGTATTTACTCACCACTTGAAGGGATCGTAATAGAAATCTTTCACAGTCGCAACAACACCTTTTTTGCCCATTATATACTTTAAGAAATACTTGGTGGTTTTACGAAATGTAACGTAGCAACGTTAGTTTTTATTATAACACAGAAAAATCAATAATCTCTGTGACGGAAAGTGACTTTTGGTCTTTTGAAAAGGAAAACAGCGTGACATCAGGCATTTGACAATTTGATTGACATCTATTTGACAGTTTTTTTTTAGTGTTGCAATATTACGAATTCCAGTGTGTTTTTTTAATTATTTTATTTACTACCATAGATTTTCAGCATGTACCGAAACAGTGCGCCCAGTATACAAAATAGTATATTTTCTTTCAACCCAAATATTAAAGAACTAAATATAGTGTCGGAAAAAAAGTCAAAAACCCAAGCAAAATTATTTATTAGAATTAACAGTTCTCAAAATCCAGTTAGTATAATGAGAAACTTTAGTATAAACTCCGGGGTAATATCGATGGCCACAGGAATATCCAAAAGACACGATGCCTACTACCAAGCCCTTATATAGTAGAGGACCTCCAGAGTCACCGAAACATCCGTCTGGTCCTCCAGCATCTACGCGACCAGCACACATCATGGAGTCTTGAATAACTGCACCGATTGTGTTATATCGCATCACGCAAATTTTTTGGTCTATTGTGTAGAGATTCGTGTGCTGTAATTGCTCGGGTTGTGGACCGTCAGTCTGGAAGAAAATATAACATTTTATACGTAGGTATAATTTTGATGCTATAGGCACAAATAGCACTTGCTTTGATGAGGCATGTTTCTTCAGTTTTTTTACTAACATTAGGTAAATGCCATAAGCTTTAAAGCTCCCTCGGACTTCTTGAATCTGCTATGCTTACTAATCACTATACAGAATACATTTTGGAGATGTGAAGTATGGTATTTCATTTCCAAACTTTATTATTTTATCTATAATGTGTTTAAATAGGATCAGTGCTTCAACCAAGCTTCAACTGAAAGCGGAAGCTCTAATTTGCTAAGCGTAGTTAACCTGCAGGACACACCTGACGCTGTGGTTTCCCGGGAGTTTCTTGGCTGTTATCTGACGGCTATTGAAAATAATTATTAAGTAAAATTATATTTAAATTATTGGCCCAAGGTATTCAATCAAATATTATTAAGAAATATTAAGTAGACAAATTACTTTCAACCCGAGTGAATAGGTAGCTTATGGGTCGACGTGTTCCATCGTAGACCGCATCATCGCTTACCACCAGGCGAGATAGTGAACAAACGTCATCTCATCACATATAAAATCTTTGAAAGCCTCATATTTTACTGGACTATTGTAGTAGGTATGATTGTAGTGTCGTTATTATCATCATCAGCCAAAATATATTTATTTATGAACGTAAGCCTCCCCCGACTACAACCAGATCAGAAGGGACCCACATTAAGCCATCGATCATAATTTTGATTTTATTTCACTTCAGTAACTGATTATGGAGGCCTTATCAAAACTTTTAACTATAGTCGTCTAACTACTTATTACAAGTAAAGCCTTTTTTTAAGGGGGTAAAATCAGCGAAAGACTCCTCCCGCCTGGGTGAGGCGGGAGGGAATGTCAGACTCTTACTGACTAAAAACCACCCCGTTCCTTCTTCTGCACGTCGAGCCGGAGCCCCGGTTACCCGTTAAGTTCCCCGCGATAAAAAAAGCCTTACCTCCAAAACTCCCCATCCAACGAGGGTACAAAGAGAATCAGGCTTGATCTCTACCCCTTGCTTGATTATAGTGCCCTGTCTCACATTGTTATTAAAAGAGAATTGTTTAGCGACCACTACAACAGAGATGTCGTTGGTGTAAAAGAATTTGTCGAAATCCTTGTGTGGTATTATAGTTTTCAAATTATGGAGCACTCCTCCACCGGTGCGGTATGTGGAACCAACTCGAATCTTCCAATATTTCGGCATGGTGTAACTGAAACACATATGACTCATATAAATTACACAACTTTTCTACATATCTAAGTACAAGCCTATTAAGTTACATGTTCGGAATAGGGCACTGCTGAACTGTGGGTCTTCGCAATATAAGAAACATTCTAATAATCTTTATGTGTGGCTGGCGGGTTAGCGATCGTAATTCCAAAGGTTCGGACTTGTCAAAGACTGCTGCGGGATCTCTGTAGGATGTTTCGTCCTATAAGTCGCTCGTACGATACTGGCAGGCGAGTAAGATAATGATGATGATAGATAATCTAGATTTTTAAAAAGCCTTAGTCTAAGCCAAGTCTTAGTCGGCGCTTACTAGACTAGTGAGAAGAGCAATGTTGGTGATGCTCCAACTTTACACAAATACAAGGATTTAAAAAAGTCCTTACTTTCTCCCAGTATTCGCGTTGTACTGGAAACAGTGAGCAGCAGACAAGACATGCCGTGATGTCAGTATGACACCAGCACAATGCTGCACGTACTCCTGCGTGCCCCACGCGTCCAGCAACAGTTGGGCCATGATCGGATAGTGGGCTATACTCGTTGGAACACCTTGGATAACTCGTGTCAATATGTTATAGTGGTAGAATTGGGCGTTTGCTGAAAGGATATTATTAAAATTAGATTTTGCAAGAAGCACTAAGAATATTTATACATCTTTGACAAATTGTGAAGGACTGGTTTTCAAATAATGCCCAATTAATTAGTTTGATATCGCCAATCTGCCTTGAGCAAGCGTGATGATTAAACTTCCATTGTGAAAGCCTTTGCTGAGTAGGAGGCACTCATAGGATGTTGATGATGATGATCATTATTGCATATTGCAAGTGCGACAGCCAAGTCAGAGGATCCGAGTTCGATTTCTAGGCCAAGAAGCACTGTGGATATTTTAATTTTTCGAATATTCATATTATATTTCTTGTATTAGCATCGAGTCTAGAATTACCTACGCCTAGTTTTGGAAATCATAGATACAGATAACACTTCACTTACCTCGTAAAAAGCACAAGCAAATAAAAATAATCTGTCGAAGATCCATTTCAGCAAATATTTAGCTACTACACAGTGTCACTTTATACACTTCAGAAGCACTCTTTGATACTGATCCGATGGTAACGGGAGGTGATATGATGCTCTCTTGAGCCATGAATTATGGCGAGCTTAGTGTGTACTGCGACCACATATTTTGATACTAGAAAATTAAGCTTTTTGATTTTATATTCAGTTAATATATACCTACTACTTACCTACATATTTATTAACTAAGCTTTTGATAAGTGCGTGGCACGAAAATTAAATACATAAGTAACGTTATTTGCTAAATAGAGAACATGCCTGTCAAACTGTGCGGTACCTGCAGTCTCCAATCCATCTACTAAGCGTGGCGATTATGAAATGTCTACTTTCTTATGAAATGGGGGTTCACAAGACACAAACTAGCTGCACCTAGCAGTGGATATTATGGACTGTGATATACCTCCGATGTAAGAAACGTCCTGGGGTCGTGCAAAGTATTGGAATTTTCGGTTTTGAAATTCTCAGTCAGCATAAAACTAAATCTCTTACTGAGGTATCTAAGTTTAACAAAATATCATACATAATTCTTAACAGTTTGTAGACTCAACACGATAATCAGGCACCTTAAAATGTTTATTACTAGTATCAAGATCAAGACGCAGTCCAGGAGAAATGCAAAATAAATAGTGTCTCGGTGTCAGTGTATTAGTGCCCATCAATCATTGAGAGAGTCCGTAGAAACTACACAAGAAAACAAATCATATATTTAAGTACATCATTATGAACCGCTCAGTGTACATACGGCTACAAGTCAAGCTACACATAACTAGTACACCATGGTCTCGCTTTGTACAAACTTTCCACACTTGCAATGGTCAATGTACACTGGTTACATGACCAGATTGTCATAGACTCGCCTTGTATGATCTTTCTGTACACTCAACGGTCAGTTTAAACTGGTTAATTTTAGGTTGATGCGTAGCCGTGTACGTAGCAAAAACTTTCCTAACATAAACAAACATGTTATTACTTTGTAGACATTGTAGCTAATTGATTTTTAATTGGTAAGCACGATTGAAGTTAACGGATGCTCGGATAATTAGCTTTTTTTTTGTTTAACTGTGCTTTTATTAATGATTCGAGGCTGTACAACAGACAATTTAGTGAGTTTTTAAGGCGGAAAATGGTCGATATCACGTGACAGAGCCATGGTTCGAGTGAATCGAACTCGAGAGACTTGATCATGCTTCCGATTACTTATTCCTTACCGTGATAGATAGGGAACTATAAGATTTCTTAAATACAAAACTAATATTAGATCTCACATAAGACAAACTTGGTAGGTAATATTTGGTTAATTGACCGAGTTAAATGTAAAATTAAATTATTCAAAACAAAATTGCGGATATATGTACCCACAATTTCATTTTGGCGGTAAAATTAACGAAAGTTGCCATGTTTCAAAAAGCATTTTAAAGGATGAATTAAACTGGGGTGAACCTTGTGAAAGAAAATATAAGTGAAAGAAAAATAATACTGCAACAAAAAGTATATTTTCATCTTTGAATAAACACTCAATAAGTAACAAGTATAAAACATAATAATGATTATGTACAAGAACAAACATTTTATTTGGAAGACTAATTTATACATTTGAATTTCTATACTCATAAATAGCACACGTGTTTCCTGTAAAATTGGGAAATAGACTGAATGAAAAATTGCGAGTGATAGGTGCTTATTGGTCACCAAAAGATAAACCGTTTCACAAAAAGGTTTGCGACAGTGGCGCCACCCTGACTCAGGTAGGTATAAGTGCTAGGCATTATTACTTTACCGTATAATTCCTTTATTACGTATAGATAGTTGTATTTGAGTGTCTATGCTAGTATAATACTTCATAAGACCTAATAACTTGATAACTTTCTTCATGTCTCCTTCAAAAAACGCAGCAGAGACCTCTTTCTGTAAACTATTTATTTTGGCTTTGTTTTCTGCGTTTAATTCCATTATTTCTTTTTCTGTCTCCGCATTTTCTACTTCTTCATTCTTTTCCATGATTTCCATTAGGAAAGCTTGGTCTACTTCTGTTTGTTCTGGTATCTCTTTGCCTTGTAAGCGCAACATGTAAATACCTGGAACCAATATTTTAATATCCAAATTAAAAATAGATTATTTGAATGTGTTCAAACTTCAACACAATATTTTAGTTGATTTTATCTTAAATCTGCAGATATGATAACTGAAGACTATCCTAGAAGTAACGAGAAAATATTTTTTTTCAAAAAAAAAATTAGAACATTTTTTTTGCCCTTTCATCCAAATAAAAGATAAAACACTAGACCAGTGGTTTTCAAGTTATAACCTCTGGGCCTCATACAGGTTTTTTTACAGAGATTTTAAGACTAATAATCTATTTAAAATTAAATACTTTGAGAACCATCCAAGAATTTTTTTTTTAATAGACACATTCAGTTATGTGCCAGATATTTTCTTATCATATGTTTACAAACCTCTGTTTAATGGCTCCAATAAGGTCTTGTATGCTTCATTAACCAATGATGAATACTTTTCTGAGATATCTTGTTCTTCTCTTTTTCTGAAACAAGAATTTTTACAGATAATATTATTTTGATATATTATTTTCTGGTTGCTTGCCTTTAGCCTGAAATTTCCTGTAATGTACAAGATAAATGGAAAAGTAACTGTTTCATTGCTAGATAAAGGCCCCTTTTTATAAATATGACGAAGGAATTAGTGTAATTCACAACTCATTGTTAATAAAATGGAATGATTTTCAACTTCAATTAGAATCTCTTATCAGTTATTACAATTGCAGATGCCACGATTACTTTAAAATTTAGATTAAATGTTGCGTGAAGAGATATAATTTTATACCACGGAATACAGAATATTGATATATAAACCATTACCTGTTAGCATACTTATCAGGGTGTAGATATTTCTGTAATTCCTTGTATTTCTTTGCTAATTCTGACTCGTCTAAGTCATAGGATTCCTTCACCCCCATAATTTTAAAATAGTTTTCATCTTTGGGTGGCTGTTGTAACGCATTGCAACTTCCACAAAACAAACTAGGCTGTATGTTCATAACGTCTTTGCCACAAGACCAACATGATGAAAGCCTTATTTGCCTCAGTAAAGAGGTTTGTCTCACTGTTGTATTAAAAATAAAACTTCTTACACTCATAACTTTCAGGTTAGGTTTTCTTACTTGATTTTAATGGACCTTGAGTTTGTTTAAAGAATTACGTAAACTTTTGAAGTGTTATGTTCACAACAGATCAATCGTTGTTTTGACTTAATTTTCCGTCAAGTTAGAAATAACGTCGTTCTCTTAATTTTTTTATTACTTCTAGTTTGACATTGACGTGACAATGTTGATAACAAGCAGCTGATTGAATAACGTTTAGTTATCTTATACAATCTGACTCTACGAAAGGATTTCAAAAAGTAGTCCGCGAATTTATAGACATAATTTTTGTTGAACATCATAAATTGACTTTGAAAATTAACGTACTGGTTTGTTCAATATTTTTAAATGAATAAAATTATGTTATTTAAAACGCAAAAAAGTTAGTAAAAGCTATACAAAAAGCTCAAGTCCCAAATTAACATCAATGTCATTTGTCAAAAGTGACAGTTGGTAAACACTCCATTGCAGGGAAAATAGTAGAGAAGAGAGTGGCTTTAGTGTTAATTTTGTGAGAAGAAAGAGTTTAAATAATCATGACGAATTACTTTACAATGGATGGGACGGATTCAACGAATTTCCAGAAGGAGATATCTGGTATGATGCACGGATTTGGCGACAATCCGAACCCGAATGCAGCCACCGTTGTGTTGGTCGAAAGCATTGTTCAACAACAACTGAAGTTTATGATTCAAGAGGCCCATCAACACTGCAACCTGCGCTGCGGTAAGGCTATAACTAACTACGATATTATTTACCTCATGAGGAAGAATATCAAGAAGCTAAAACGCCTGCATGACTATCAGTTAAAATTAGATCAAATTGACAAGAAATGTATCTTGAACATCACTACGCAAGCTGAATCCCTGATCACAGGCCTGCTGGAAGACGAAAAAGACCCGACTGTAAAGAAACGCAGAACACACATAGACTACATCAGGGAATTTGATGAAGCTGATGAAGTAAGCCAGATTAAATTTGATTCCATAGACTACATTCGAAAAGTTCGTGCTGCTAAAATCACTGAGTCTATGACTTTTGAGAAGTATGAGGCTTACCACAAAGCTAGGTGCTTGTCATTCCGTTCTGGTTATGGAATAGGAAGAGGTTTTGTTAAACTTGAGCGCTGGCTGAATCCTGTAAAGGAATTCAAGCTAACGCAGTCAGCTCTAGAGGTTTTAGGCTTTGTGGCTTATGAAACAGTTGCAGAAATTGTGGATGGAGTCTTCTTAATCCGCCAAGATGCGAAGAAGAAAAGCGGAGATCCTTTTAGCAAATTCGAAGGTGGTTATTTCTGTAATCCTGTCAGCTTGAGTAATGCTGTGTACATTAAATCTGGGTATGAAGGAGTGCCAGCAATAACCGTAGCAGAAGTCAGAGAGGTGCTACGAAGATATTACTCTCCGAGAATGGGAATGAATGGATTGTTCTATAGGAATATGAGCTTGGATTTGCCAATTCGGTATATAGCATTGTGAGAGGGCGTAAGGTTGTAAAGCAACTAAATCAAGAACTCTGATGTATCTATATTTGTGCCAAAATACATAAAAAATGATCTACTGATCAGCATTTTTGGTGTTTATGTGTACTGAGTCACAAATTCATGCTTTGTCATGCTTGATGTATTAAACTTAAGATAGTTAAATGATAAGATTCTCAAGGCTAAAAGGCCTATAAGCTATGAAATAAGAATTATATTACTGAGTAGGTAAAAAAAGTGTTAACAATTTGTTGCCGACATTAAATATAACATTAGAAACTTTGGCTATGAAATTTTTAATTTTTTTTATCTGTATTAAAAAGAATAACAAGAACAATTTTAAACAAAAATCCATTTATTACTGTTTTATTTCTATATAGTATTGTCCACTTGTACTTATATTCTTTTAAATCGAATGAAATGTCATTTGTATTGACTTGACAAACATTTAATTCACATTTTTAAACATGTAACAAATAAAGGGTAATGAATTTTTTCTACATGTGAAATACGTATACTCTATATTCATTTCTATGACTTCAGAAATAAGGTTACAATTGCACAACCGAGTCAGAAAATGTTAAAAATTAAGGCCCTTATACTGAAAGGCCACTTAATTTTTAATTCGCGTTCACTAACGGGTTTAATTATAGTTCTGTCCCTTCAAATTCCTTGTAAAATGACAGAGACGGCATTACATTTCAGAACAACTTAAAATTGAGTAGCCTTTAGAGTATTCGGGTGTAAACCTTACAAATGTCAGGCCATATTGAGACAGTACTTTAAGAATTAACTCGTCGAGTACCGTATTTATAGACACATTTAAAGAACAATAGGTTGCGGTCACCGGTGACCGCTTGGTGTTTGACAGTTTAAGATGCATTTAGACTCATTAAGATAAGTATTATAGTTTATAAGTCCATTAATTACGTGTGATGAAAAATCTCACGTGAAATTGGGGGATGGGGGAGGGTGTTAAGGAAAATCTCATGAAATGTCACGGGGGGGGGGGGGGCAGAAAATAAAATGCACGTAATTTATCGACGAATTCGGTTTAAAAACAATGTTCTTTCTTTGAAGAGTAGATATAATAACTTATTTCTAATCCTCATTATCATTGTAAGAAACTTGATAAGTTTATATCTTTTAAGCCCGAATACTGAAAACCTACTCAATTTTAAGTAGTACTTAAATATCGTGCCGTTTCTATCATTTTACAAAGAATTTGTAGAGACAGGACTATACTTAAGCGCGATTTAAAGTTTAGTAGCCTGTCAGTATTCGGGCGTTAGTTTTGTATTACTTGTCATTGGTTGGATAGTTACAAGTTCTCGTATGTTGTTAATAGAAATAGATTATTAAGGATTGTACTTAGATATAAGTCAGCTTTATACTATCCTCATTAACTTAAATTAGGATCAATGAAAGAGCTCGGGGTACTGTTGCATCATACAATGCTAAGTGCATCACATGAAACTTTGTTAAATTGTAAAATACTGACACTGTGTATTGTCTACTGTTTCTTTCAATGGATTTTCGACTATCTGGAAAAAAGTAAAAATCTTAATTATATATTATTCGTATGGCGTCTGTGTTCTGTTGCGGGGATGCTCAACTACTTTCGAACCTCATTGGGATCGTTACGTTCGTGATTAAGTCACATGGCTAGTGGGTAACCCTCTAAGTCCTCTAAGAAACCCTCTATAAAACATGAGTTAACTGAATCGACATTATTTAATATATTCTCACAATATTTATTATCCAAGAAAGTTGAAAATGTATTAAAGAGATTGAAACGATTTGCTTTTATAGTATTATAGGTAGTAGGTAGTTATTAAGAACTGGATAGGTTTCTATGTCATTGAAGTGATAAAAAAGTAGGTTTGGTCGGGCAAGGTTTAATATCCGGATCTGACAAAGTATTATTGTGTAAGGTTGGGTGTTTGGATGAGTGTAATGAAACCAACGAGCTCCGAGAATACACTGAATATATTGAATATAGGATGCTTAATATATATCTTACGACTACTACACCACACCTTCCCCTTTATTAAAAAAATAATAATAAAATACATGATTATTATTATTTTTGAAAATAACATAATTTTTGAATATAACTGCTATTTGTATACTAATATACCTTATATACCTTACCTCTATATACCTTATATACCTTATATACCTGCGCAGGGTATATTTAATTACATAATGCACGCATACAATATTATGTATAGAATAAGTGCAATATAAGCATAGACATGATTAAAATAACAATACGATTACATTTTTGAAATAGTAAAACTTAAATTCTACAAAAAAATAAAAAAAATATTTAAGGAAAAAAAATTAGTCAATTTTATAAGGTTTAGTTCTGTTTTTATGCACTACATATTCCTTTCCGTCTTTTAAGATATTCACATTACAATCCAAATCTTCAAGTACTTCGTAAGGTCCCAAATATATAGGATCCATTTTACTATCGGATGTATTCCTTAGTAATAATAAATCACCCCTTTTATAATATACTGGGTTTTTGGTAGAATCATAATAGTGCTTTCTCTTAAGCTTAGACTTAATTAAATTATTATGTCCATCCTTTTGCGCTAATTGGAGTCTATATTTTAACTCAAGAGCATAATTATCATGAGCATATAAAGGATCTACGATATGACCTTCTAAATTTGTAGGTAATATACAGCGTTTACCAAAAACTAACTCGTGCGGTGTGTACTTGGTTTCCGTATGTACTGCATTATTATAACAAAAACACCAATACGGTAACCAAGCACTCCACGCATTTGGTTGATTTTCACAATTAATTCTTAGATACGCACCCATTGTTTTATGGTTGTTTTCCAATGCCCCAATGCTTTGGTGATGGTAAGCTGTAGAAGAAATTTGATTGATTTTTAAGATTTGGCATATCTCTTTCATGGTACTTGATATAAATTCTGACCCACGATCGGTTGCTATTTCTCTCGGTATGCCATATCTTAAAATAAAATTCTCTACAAATGCGCGAGCTACACTTACCGTATCTTTGTTGCGTAAAGGGTACGCCTCTGTGAATTTCGATAATTCGCATTGTAAGGTCAAAATGTATTTGTAACCATTTATGTCAGGTGGCAACGGTCCTACAATGTCTAAATATACCTTTTCTAATGCTGAATTTGCAGTCGTTGTGACTTGCATAGGTTGCTTAACATGTGTAGAATACTTTTGTTTCTTACACTGCTGACACTTAGAGACATAATCAGCGACATCTTTTTCCATACTTGGCCAGAAGTAATACTTCTTTATGTTATTCGTCATCCGCCTAATACCCGCGTGGCCACTCCCAAATATATAGCAACGCAACGTAACGTGTAATGAAACCAACGAGCTCCGAGAATACACTGAATATATTGAATATAGGATGCTTAATATATATCTTACGACTACTACACCACAATTGGAATGTAAGAAAAAATTGTCAGTATGAAATAAAATTGTGTAAGTTTATCTTAAGACTTTTTCTACCTTGGTTATTGATCTACTGGTAGTAGTTGGCAAAAAATAAAAATAGATGTAGGTAAGTTCGGTCAGCTACCGATTTCTAAATCAATCTTTCCTACTGCCTCGTTGGCCGAGTGGTCGCAAGGTCGACTGCCGGGCAAGGCGTCCTGTGTATTATTGGATACTGTTTCAGTATTATTATTGTTTTTTAATATCAATCTGTAAGGTGTACTTCAAAAAGAAAATTTATTATTGTTTTGTTTTTAACGTTAATTTTTACTAAGCTGCCTCGTTGGCCGAGTGGTCGCAAGTACGACTGCCGGGCAAGGGGTCTCGGGTTCGATTTCCGGGTCGGGCAAAGTATTATTGAGTTTTTTTTTAATTCTCAGTAATAGCATGGAGTCTGGAATTGTGCCCGGTATATGGCAATAGGCTCACCCCCTATTACATGGGACTTATAACATAAATAGTGAAAATTGGGTGTTACATTGTACAATGGCATAATGTGGACCTCTGCCTACCCCTTCGGGGATAAAGGGCGTGGTGTTATGTCTTACCTACCTATTTGAGATTCCATTGAAGCGAAAATGGCAAACTCTTGTACCTACACTGGTCATTGAATTTGTTCTGAAACGTCACAATAGTACTTACCTATTTGTATAAGGTAATTTTTTGATGTTTTTCGTACGTAGAATAAAGAGAAGTGTCCTCAGCATCGAGGAATGGATAATGGGTAACTATAATAGACAATAGTGGCTGGTGTTTCGAAAGTACCCATCTTATGTACCTACTTTGTGTCTCAACAACTTTTGAGCTGAGTGAGGCTATCCTAGAATACTTTCTATACCTTGTTTTTGCCTTTAAATATACTTATGATGAGCTTCTTCAAAAGCGCGGAGTTTGGAAAGGATACCTTTTATGGCATAAGCCGGTAAACGAGCCGATGGATCACCTAATGGTAAGCAATCGGCGTCGCCCATGGACACCTGGAACACCAGAGGCGTTACAAGTGCGTTACCGGCGTTTTGGGGATTAGGAGTTTGAGGATCGTTGGGGATTCAGGGTTTGGGGTGATAGGGGAAGGGGAAGGTAATTGGGCCTCCGGTAACCTCACTCACACGACGAAATACAACGCAAGTTGCGGCCGGCCCATTCGTGCCGAAGCATGGCTCTCCCACACTTAAAACCTAACTGTATGCCCTACTTAGCATAGCTACATACTTAACGAATCGCGATCATCGTCATATAAAACATCTCAATGCCTACTTATCTATGTTAATTATTATGTTTTTCGGCTAACTCACGTAATTATTTGCTCAGAAGCAGCGTGACAGTCACCTCGTCGCGGGTCGCGGAATGCTGTTCATGAATATGAGCCTCTAGCTTGAAACTAGTCGATTTCGTCGTCAAATAATTACGTGAGTAAGCCGAAAAACATAATTTAATTATGTCTCACGAAAGTTATTTATAATACTTACCTATGTGACCTTCACCTATCGCTTT